AATTAAGCCGCAGGGTGGCGGAGCTGGAGAAAACGGATGAGGAGCTGGTGAAAGATGTGGCTCGTAATAGCGAGCTGGAATCACTCCTCAAATTGAGGGAAGAGGAGTTGGAGCTCAGACATGGGGTGGCGGCGGAGGTTGCCGATCTGCATCGTAGGGTAGCAGCTTTGACAGCCGAACTCGAAGCCAAGGTGGCTGAGGTCGACATTCTCAGGCGTACTGTCCCGCCACGGCGTGGGGACGTGGCTCAAGATGCGCACGAGATGTGGATATATGCGGAGGCCAAATTAGATGTATATAAATAACTCCTCGTTGCGGAACGTGCCTCCGAGGAGGAAGTTCAAGAGCGGTGGCGCGAGGCTCGTGCTGCTCGCATAGCTTGCGGGTACAGCTCCGACTCCCCTGATCGAGAGGGCTACGCTTCGGAGGATGTTAACCGGCTTGAGTCCAACCCATGGTTTAATGAAGCTTACCGCCTTGGTGGCGATGTTCGAGAAGGAGAGCGGGCGGATGGCGATGGTAAAAATGGCGAGGCTCCTTAAGACTTGTATATGTTTTGCCTTTTTCTTATTGGAATGTAATGGGGGCCCTTCGCGGGACTAAATGTATATAATTTTTGTCATAGTGAAAGGATTATTCTTTTGTTGCTATTCTTTTCGTGTTGTTCTTTGTTAAAGGTTGTTTGTCACCGTCGAGCTTGGCCGGCATTTCGATGGCGATGCCTTAGACGATAGGATGTAACTTCAACTGTCGATGAAGTGTTATCCGTCGTCGTCGGGCGGGGTTGTCGTTTGTCTATGTTGGCCTTAGCCGTTTAGGGGTAACTTCAACCATCGTTGAAGCGTTATCCTCGATGTCGAGCTGGGTCGACATTTTATTGGCGATGGCCTTTGGCCCATAGGATGTAACTTCAACTGTTGTTGAAGTATTATCCGTCATCGTCGAGCTGGGTCGGCGTTTACTGGCGATGGAACGTTTTACTGGCGATGGCCTTTGGCCCATAGGATGTAACTTCAACTGTTGTTGAAGTGTTATCCGTCGTCGTCGAGCTGGGTCGACGTTTACTGGAGATGGCCTTTGGCCCATAGGATGTAACTTCAACTGTTGTTGAAGTGTTATCCGTCATCGTCGAGCTGGGTCGACGTTTACTGACCATGGAACATTTTACTGATGATGGCCTTTGGCCCATAGGATGTAACTTTAACTGTTGTTGAAGTGTTATCCGTCGTCGTCGAGTTGGGTCGACCTTTACTGGCGATGGCCTTTGGCCATTTTCGCAATGGAGGTGGTGGCCTTGGCCGCTTACATAATGGAGAAGGTGACCTTGGCCATTTACATAATGGAGAAGGTGGCCTTAGCCGCTTACATAATGGTGAAGGTGGCCATGGCCGTTTACATAATGGAGAAGGTGGCCTTAGCCGCTTACATAATGGAGAAGGTGGCCTTGGCCGTTTACATAATGGAGAAGGTGGCCTTAGCCGCTTACATAATGGAGAAGGTGTCCTTGGCCGCTTACATAATGGAGAAGGTGCCTTTATTATACCGACCTGGAGAGAACGTCGAGTGTCCGATATGATAAACCTGCCTCTAGATACCCCTAGGTGTCCCCTTTGCCACCTCGTTAAAAACTTCCCCGAGAAAACCCGATTGGGACAAAACCCGGGTAAGGGAAAAAGAGTACGACTCGAGAGACGCCCTTCAGAAATGGAAGTACTTGACGTGGGCGACGTTCCAGTTGTTTCGGAGCGTCTTTCCTTCCATTGTTTCTAACTGGAAAGCTCCTTTGTTTGCCGCTGCCGTGATTTTATATGGCCCGCTCTAATTGGTGCCCAATTTCCCCTCGCTCGGGTCTTTTGACGCCAAAGTTTTGGCCTTGAGGACGTAGTTGCCTACTTTGAGTGGTCGTATTTTGGCCTTTTTGTTGTAATATCTTTCGACCTGTTGCTTTTGAGCCGTCATTCTTATGTGGCCATGTCTCTTCGTTCTTCGGCCTCGTCGAGGTCTTGGAGTCTATTCATGTTGTTATCCGCTCCGCTGGTATGTGAATATCTCAGGCTTGGTTCTCCGATTTCGACGGGTATGACCGCGTCGGTTCCGTAGACCAGTGAGTATGGAGTTTCTCCCATGCTGGATTTGGGCGTGGTTCGATGTGCCCACAGTACTTCTGGTAGTAGTTCGGGCCAGAGCCCCTTGGCTTCTTCGAGCTTCTTCTTCAGTATGTTCAGTATTGTTCTGTTGGAGGATTCTGCTTGTCCGTTGGCGGCGGGGTGATATGGCGTGGAGAGTATTCATTTGATTCCCCATTTGTCGAAGAACTCCGTTGTCTTTTTGCCAACGAATTGGGGGCCGTTGTCGCAACTGATTTCCTTGGGGATGCCGAAAAGGCATATGATGTTTTTCCATATGAAGGCGATAACTTCCTGTTCGCGTATTTGGGCGTACGCACCTGCTTCCACCCACTTGGAAAAATAGTCAGTTAAAACTAACAGAAACCGTACCTTTCCTCGTCCGGCTGGTAGGGGACCGATTATGTCCATTCCCCATTTGATGAAGGGCCAAGGTGGGGTTACTGAGTGGAGGGGCTCTCCCGGCTGATGTATCATGGGGGCGTATTTTTGGCACTGTTCGCACCTGCGAACATACTCTGCTGCCTCCTTTTTCATAGTGGCCCAGTAGTATCCGGCTCGAATAATGCAATGGACGAGGGCGCGGTTATCGGTATGTGCGCCACAGTGACCCTCGTGCACCTCTTCGAGTACTGGCCTCGTTTGGTGCGGCCCCAGGCACTTAGCGAGGGGTCCGCCAAACGTCCTTTTGTAGAGATCGTGATTTATTAGGCAGTACCGGGCGGCTTGTACGCGGAGCTTTTTGGTTTCTTTTTTGTCGAGTGGGAGTGTCCCGTCCTGCAGATAGGAGACGAACTGGTTGCGCCAGCCCCAAGTTAGATTTAAAGAGAGTACCTCAGCGTGGTCTATGGTCGAATGGAGGAGGGTGACTACACTCCCTTTGTTGATATTTTTGGTGGCTGCGGCCAGTTTTGCTAAGCCGTCTGCTTCGACATTTTGCGCCCTGGGGATTTGCTCAAGGCGGCACTCGTCGAACTCAAGCATTAGCTTGTGGATTTCCGATTGGTACTTTTGCAATCTCTGCTCCTTGATTTGGTAAGTCCCGATGATCTGGTTCACCACGAGTTGGGAGTCGCAATGGAGGATAAGTCGTCGAGCCCCGTACTTGACGACTAATTTTATACCTGCAACCACAGCCTCATACTCGGCTTCATTGTTAGTCATCTCGGGGCATCGTATGGACTAGCGAATCACTTCGCCCGTGGGGACTTCAAGATCGAGTGCCAGTCCTGAGCCCGAGGCATTCGCGGCGCCGTCAGTGTAGAGAGTCCAAAGGTCGGCACTGGAGAAAGCACGAATGGCCTCCAATTCCGCCTTTGGCAATACCTCTGTGCTGAAATCGGCGACAAAGTCGGCAAGTACCTGCGACTTGATGGTGTTTCTTGGGTGATAGGATATATCGTGCTCGCTGAGCTCTATGGCCCATCTAGCGAGCCTGCCAGACAGCTCAGGCTTGTGTAGGATGCTTCTCAGGGGAAAGGTCGTTATTAACTTTATGGGGTGGCACTAAAAATAGGGTCTAAGCTTTCGTGAAGCTACGACCGTTGCCAGGGCCAGTTTCTCGAGGTGTGGGTACCGTGTCTCGGCATCCACCAGGGTTTTACTGATATAATAAATACGAGACTGCGTACCTTTGTTTTCGCGAACGAGGACTACGCTGACGGTGACTTCGGATACCGCCAGATACACTAGCAAAGGCTCGCCTGGATTCGCTTTGACTAGCAGTGGTGGTGAAGATAAATATGCCTTTAATTTTCTCAGGGCCTCGATGCATTCCTCGTTCCACTGTAGCCCGTAATCTTTCCTCAGTACGTTGAAAAATTTGTGGCACCTGTCAGAGGATCTCGAGATGAACTTGGATAGGGCGGCTATTCGCCTCGTCAACTTTTGTACCTGCTTTTTGCTGTTCAAAGTCTTAGGTATTGCGTCTATTGCCTTGATTTAGTCCGGGTTGACCTCGATACCCCGTTGTGATACGAGGAAACCCAAAAATTTTCCCGAGGCTACGCCGAAGGCGCATTTCTCTGGGTTCAACTTCATCCCGTACCGTCTTAATATCTCGAAGGCTTCTTTCAGATGGCCGATGTGGTCTTCTTTCTTTGCCGACTTCACTAGCATATCGTCGATGTAGACCTCTATGGTTTTTCCGAGCAGTTCTTTGAACATTTTGGTGACCAATCTCTGATACGTTGCCCCTGCATTTTTGAGCCCGAAGGGCATCACCTTATAGCAATACGTCCCTTGGTGGGTGATAAAAGTTGTCTTTTCTTGGTCCTCTTCGGCCATCATGATCTGGTTGTAGCCGGAGTATGCATCTAAGAAGCTTAGCAATTCATGTCCTACCGTGGCGTCGATCAACTGGTCGATGTGGGGTAACGGGAATGAATCTTTTGGGCACGCCTTGTTAAGGTCGGTGAAATCTACGCACATTCTCCATTTCCCATTTTTCTTTTTGAGCATGACGACGTTGGCGACCCATTGGGGGTATTTTGCTTCTCTAATGGACCCGTTGGCCAGTAGCTTATCTACTTCTTCACTGACCGCCTCGTTGATTGCGGCATTGAACTTTCTTCTGAATTGCCGCACGGGCGGATACAGCGGGTCGACGTTCAGCTTGTGGGTGGCAATGTCTTTCGGGATCCCCGACATATCTGAATGAGAAAAGGCAAGCAGATCCGCGTGGTTAGTTAGAAATTCACGGTACTTACTTGGATCGCAGAGGCTGTGCCCGATGTAGGCTTTCTTTGTGTGGTTGGTGACGTCCAGTTGGACTGGGTCGAGATCCTCGACCGTCGCTTTGCAGGCTTCTACGACGTCGGGATCTTCGATGACTTCCATTGTCGGGTTGACCTTAGTCCCCGACATGGCTGATTGCTATGCCTCCGCACTTGCTCCCTCCAACTGTTTGGTGTGGGCGCAGTCTTGAGCGATTCGGTAGCATTCTCGTGCGGTGCGCGGCTCGCCCCGAATGCTAAACATTCCCCATGGGGTGGGGAACTTGATTACTTGGTTGAAGCTTGAAGGGACTTCTCGCATGGCGTGTATCCAAGGGCGTCCTATGATGGCGTGGTAGGCTGTCTCCTGGTTCATGACGTGGAAAGTGGTTTCCAGCGTGACTCCCCCTGCCAAAACCGGCAATGATATCTCCCCGGAGGTTCGTTCCACTGCATTGTTAAAACCAGTTAGTGTTATGCAACGCGGTATTATCTTATCTTCAAGTCTCATTTGCATGAGGACTCTTGGATGGATAATACAGGCGCCGCTTCCGTCGTCGATTCTCTTAACATCAGTATCGACAATACGTAAAGTTATGACCAAGGCATCATAATGAGGAAAAGACAAACCGTCGGCATCGGACTTATCGAAGATGATACTCTCTTCGAATTCGTCATACCGTTCATGGGCGATTGTTCGTTTCAGTTTGTGCGTGGTGGTGAACTTTACGTGGTTGATTGTTGAATCATCGCTGCCTCTGACGATCATGTTTATGGTGCGTGTTGGCGAAGGTGGTCTCGGCGGCCCTTGGGGTTGTTCCTGTTCTCGTGTGAAGTTGGTCTTTCCCTTATTGCTAAGCAGCTCCCTCAGGTGTCCTAGGTTCCGCATCCTGACTACTTCTTGTCGTAGACCTATGCAGTCTTCGGTTTTGTGTCCTCTTTCCTGATGGAACTCGCACAGGACGTTCGATCTCCTTGTTGTAGGATCTGATTTCATTTTCTGCGGCCATTGCACCTTGGTGCCCAGTTTCTCCAGTGCGCACACTATTTCTGAGGGAGACACACAAAAGTTATGGGCAGATAATAAAGGGGGCATACCTTTTTCGTTCCGGAGTGGAACGACATGTCGTTGCAATGCCTCTGTGTGCCTCGGCGGTGGTGGATGAGAGGATCTAACGTAGGGCTGATGCCTTTCTTTGTTGAAGCGCGGGAGCTGTTCCCGTTGCCCGTCGTTGCGTCGATCCCTTCTTGTTTCTGATTGTATCGTCGTTAGCCGTTGGGTCGGTCCATTGAGGTCGTCCTCATCCGCTCGTACTTTGGCACAGTAGGCGTTGTGGATCTCTTCCCATGTGGTGGGGGGATATTTCATGAGTCGGCTCAGTAGCTTTTTGGTCGCCCTTGAACCATCTCTGTTCAGCCCGTTTTGGAAGGTTGCGACAGCCATGCCTTCCGATACATTTGGTAGGCTCATCCTTACCCTGTTGAACCTGGCCAGGAAGTCCCTGAGTCCCTCTCCTATGGTTTGCCTGACGGCGAAGATATCGTTGACCCTGGCCTCTGCTTTCTTTGCTCCTGCATGGGCGGTGACGAACTTATCCGCCATTTCTTCGAATGTTGATATTGTCCTAGCTGGCAGCTGAGAGTACCATGTTAGGGCCCCCCTGTCAACGTTTCTCCGAACTTTTTCAGCAATACGGATGGTACTTGTTCTTTTGACAAATCATTGCCCTTCACAGCGGTCACATAGTGGATCAGGTGGTCCTCGGGATCCGTAGTCCCGTCATATATTCTCAAGTAAGGTGGCATCTTGAAGGTTTTTGGGATCGGATGAGGGGCAGCCTCTTCGCTGTACGGCTGTTCGACGAATCTTCCTACGTCGCGTTTTGGTAGTAACTTAGGAGCACCGGGAATTTTGTCCACTCTTTCCTGATGCTCTTTCATTTGATCTCGAAGTGCTTTGTTCTCATTCTCCATTTCTTTCATCTTTTTAAGGATGGTTGCGAGTGCACCATCGTTGGCCTGGACATCGGCATGAGTGTTGTTTGCTCGTACAGCGCCATGTTCACCGGTGGCAGTAGTGGTGTCTGCTGCCGGTGAGTCCCTGGTGTTGCCTTGAGGCGATTTCTCGAGCAAACTGCTTAGAGTGTTTGTCAACCACTCTTCCAGTAGCTTCTTGACTACCGGGGGTGTTTCTTTGGCGGCCGATGTAGAAGCCCCTTTCTCGTGCAGAAACGTTAAGTCTTCAAGTGAAGAGGGTGAGATCTCCCCATCTGGTGCACTACCAGGTGTTGCGCCTATGATGTTTTCTCTACCGGCCTCGTTGAGAGGGCCTATGAGGTTGGTTGCTACATCTGCTATTGTTTTCATCCGTGCTTCTCTTTCTGCCATCGTTCGGTTTCTGAGGAGTACGAAGAACGGTGACCGTTGTTTTTTGATATCCTAGGTATGAACTATGGTTTCGATTGCCGAGTTCTCCACAGACGGCGCCAAATTGTTTGGCTCAAAAGATACTAATTACTTTGTAAGCAAAAACAATCAAAATAAATCAAAGGTAAATCGTAATCGAATATAATTAGACCTAGAAATATGTATTATGCTTGTTATTGCTTCAACAACTTGGATATTCGAGAGAGAAAGGAGTGCTTGTTTAGAGAGAGAGAGAAAAAGACAGAGAGAGAAAAAGAGTTTGCTCTTCCAAGATCAGATGCCTTTACAACATTGGGATCCTCCTTTATATAACAGGTGAACTCCCTTGAAACAATAAAATAATGCAGAGATAGGTCACGTGCTTTCGAGGAAACGACGAGACCTAAAGGCACGTTTCACCCCGACATTCTTAGGTCGTACCCTCTTTTCGACTATTGCTTAGTCGCGGGTCGTTGCTACCGTAGTGGGCAGAATTTGACCCATACAGATGGCGATATACCGGCGTACTTGATGGGAAATATTGGAGGATATGCCGACGGAAAGTCCTCCTCCAGTGGACTACTACTCCTATTGGACTTGGCATTACAATTGGGATGAAAATGCTTCATATACAGCATTAAAATCATAGACAATAGAAAAATGGTAAAGAGCAATACAAGTACGAACAACATAATTTGGCCATGTAGAGCAAAATTATGATCTCCAGAAAATAGCAGCCTATCATCCTTCCCTGAAAATCCATCTGGAGCTATGGATGGTGATTCTTGAGAGGAGGACATTTCAGCTTCAGTACTTCTATCCAAACACGTAATTGCTTGTTTATAAATCAGCTCCAACAAGTTTTTATTCGGCTAATCTGAACGGGCTAGCTCAATAATTATGACGAAATTTTTTGGTGTACCAATTTTTTCTTGGTAGTCGTTAGAGATAAAACGAGAGAAAAATGTAAGTGGAGTTCTAGAGATGGTGAGGTTATAATAGTAGTTTCCTGGCTTGTCATGCAATGGGATGAATTATCTTGAATTGTCCATTTTCTTGGGAAAACGACTCATCTGATTTTGACACAACTTGGGATTCTTTTTCAGAGAATATAATAAAATAAAATAAAAGAGAAATTGTGTGAAAGCCGTTTCATTAATTAAAATTTAGGAAAAGGACTAAAAGGAGGTCAATATCACCATAGAATTGGGCCATGATGAGGTACGTCAGAGCAATAAGATTTCTACAGCTATATATGGTACTAAGGTATCAGACAAATGCGGGAAGTGATGGAATATCAATTATCAAATCTGAAAAGCTTGAATGTCGAGAAAGAGAATAATAGCCAGTTTGACCAAGTTTTTGCTTCTGTTTCTTTTGAAGCAAAAACGTTTTTTTTGGGTCAAATGTGTTTTTTTTTTCTTTCTAAAATTAAGGTGTTTGTCCAAGTTTTTAAAAGAAAAAAAAAAGTGCTTTTGGGGAGAAGCAGAAAAAAGTAGCTTCTCTCCAAAAGCATTTTTCTAAAAAATACTTTTGAGAAAAATACACTTAGAAGCAGTTTTTTTAAAGCTTGGCCAAATACTAATTGCTGCTCAAATGTGCTTTTTAAATTAATTAGCCAATAACAAACTGCTTCTCAGCAAAAGTGCTTTTGTACTTCTCAAAATAAGCTATTTTTTGCAGTTTGGCCAAACAGGCTATAAGACAGAAAGTGGAAACTGATTTTTGTATAGAAGCTTCAAATGCCTTGTAATTTTTTTTTGTACAAATGGTAGTACAATTAAACTTCTCTATAATAATTTCACTTGTTTCGAATTTTTTTGACTGCTACAGTGAAGTGCTATTACATAAAACATATATTGTAACATAACTTGAGAAATTAATTCCAAAGAAAAACGTGATTGTCATAGTGAAATATTGTTATAAGGATGACAATTATAAAAAGATATAATTGTATGTAAAAATATCTACCTCATATAAGTCTGTATAAAACATAGAAGAAAATAATCCTACAAAAATGTAAAAATAGCACGGTATAGCCAGTTTTCGGACTGGTCAATCAAAAATAGCCAGCGTTTACCAAGTCAATGAAAATAGCCACTATTTTGCTGCAATAGAGACCGGTCCAGCATAATATACTGGAGTTCGGTGCACTTGTGTATGAACTCCAGCATATTATGCTGGACCGGTATACTTTGCTGGCTCCAGTATAATATACTGGAGACTAGAGCACCGGTGCTCCAAATCCAGTATATTATACTGGACCAATATACTTGCTGGAACTCTAGTATACTTGCTGGAACTCCAGCATATATATATATATATATATATATATATATATATATATATATATATATATATATATATATATATATATATATATANNNNCTGGCTATATTTAGTTTAAGTGGTCAAGTGGGGGGGGGGGGTTTGCATCTATACCCGATTTTGGGGTCACAATTGAACTTATATCTACTTTGCAAAAAAAAACTCCAAGCCTGCCCACTTTACGATCAACTTTAGATTTATCGAGTCTGAAGTTAAAAAAAATAGACTGAAGTGAAAAAATTCTATTTCAGATGCACTTAAGGCCAAATAGGTCTGAAGTGCAACCAATGGTTTCTTGCACTTAAGGCCAATAAGTCTGAAGTAAAAAATTGCACTTCAGATGCACTTAAGGCCAAAAGGTCTGAAGTGCAACAAACGTTTTACCTACACTTAAGGCCAATAAGTCTGAAGTAAAAAATTACACATCAGATGCACTTAAGGCCAAATAGGTCGGAAGTGCAACCAATGATTTCCTGCACTTAAGGCTAATAAGTCTGAAGTGAAAAATTGCACTTCAGATGCACTTAAGGCCAAAAGGTCTAAAGTGCAACAAATGTTTTCCTACACTTAAGGCCAATAAGTCCGAAGTGAAAAATTACACTTCAGCTGCACTTAAGTACAAATAGATCTGAAGTGCAAGTGCAACCAATGATTTCATGCACTTAAGGCCAATAAGTCAGAAGTAAAAAATTCCACTTCAGATGCACTTAAGACCAAAAGGTCTGAAGTGCAACAAACATTTTCCTACACTTAAGGCCAATAAGTCTGAAGTGAAAAATTACACTTCAGATGCACTAAAGGCTAAAAGGTCTGAAGTACAACCAATATATTCATGCACTTAAGGAGAAATAGGCCTGAAGTACAAATTGTTCAAAAACAGATCCAATGTACGATTTAATACCTACATCTACTCTAAATAAGCTCAAATTTGAAACATAACCTCCAAATATCATCAAGAACAAACTCCAATCATTAATTTATCAAAACAACCTTAAATCTATGAACCCATTTTGCAATTAAGAAAAAGAAAAAGAACAAACCCTAAGCAATAGTAAAAAATAAAAAGTCACAATAGTTCATCACTGTAAAAATATCATAAAATATCTTAAAATATTTTAACAAAAACCATATAAAATCACTGTTATCCAAAGAAGAAGAAGAAGAAGAAATAGGAGAAAAAAGTCTAAAGTTATTTAAATAGTGGGTACAAGTTAAACATATAAATGTGGGTACAATTTAAATAGGGGCGACCAAATAGGATGCCCGTACAATTTTGGAAAACTACCAACTATGTCCATTTATAAGTAGCTCATTACAAAAATTGGCCAATTCATAAAATATTACTAATATTAACCAACTTATCTATATTAGTGTGATGACCCTAAAGGTCATCTCTTGTTTTAGAAGTCAAAACTGTGTTCCGAGGCCTTAAAAACCTCCTTTTGTCTCACCACGATTTGCGTGCGCAGTCCGGGCGCATTTCCGGAAAGCTTTAATGTGAAATTTTAGAAAAATAATGAAATTGGCTTTCAAAATTGATTAAAGTTGACTTTGTTCAACATTCTTGGTAAACGGACCCGGACCCGTGATTCGACTGTCCCGTAGGGTCCGTAGTAAAATATGGGACTTGGGCGTATGCCCGGAATCGAATTCCAAGGTCCCAAGCCCGAGAAAAGAATTTTTAAAGAAAATTATTTGCTGGAAAATATA